CCCTTCCATGAGCACCCAACACCCACTGGGGACCTTGGTCCGTGAGCACCCAACACCCACTGGAGACCCCCTTCCATGAGCACCCATCACCCACTGGAGACCTTGGTCCATGAGCACCCAACACCTCCTTCCATGAGTACCCACCACCCACTGGAGACCTTGGTCCATGAGCACCCAACACCTCCTTCCATGAGTACCCACCACCCACTGGAGACCTTGGTCCATGAGCACCCAACACCTCCTTCCATGAGTACCCACCACCCACTGGAGACCTTGGTCCATGAGCACCCAACACCTCCTTCCATGAGTACCCACCACCCACTGGAGACCTTGGTCCATGAGCACCCAACACCTCCTTCCATGAGTACCCACCACCCACTGGAGACCTTGGTCCATGAGCACCCAACACCTCCTTCCATGAGTACCCACCACCCACTGGAGACCTTGGTCCATGAGCACCCAACACCTCCTTCCATGAGTACCCACCACCCACTGGAGACCTTGGTCCATGAGCACCCAACACCTCCTTCCATGAGTACCCACCACCCACTGGAGACCTTGGTCCATGAGCACCCAACACCTCCTTCCATGAGTACCCACCACCCACTGGAGACCTTGGTCCATGAGCACCCAACACCTCCTTCCATGAGTACCCACCACCCACTGGAGACCTTGGTCCATGAGCACCCAACACCTCCTTCCATGAGTACCCACCACCCACTGGAGACCTTGGTCCATGAGCACCCAACACCTCCTTCCATGAGTACCCACCACCCACTGGAGACCTTGGTCCATGAGCACCCAACACCTCCTTCCATGAGTACCCACCACCCACTGGAGACCTTGGTCCATGAGCACCCAACACCTCCTTCCATGAGTACCCACCACCCACTGGAGACCTTGGTCCATGAGCACCCAACACCTCCTTCCATGAGTACCCACCACCCACTGGAGACCTTGGTCCATGAGCACCCAACACCTCCTTCCATGAGTACCCACCACCCACTGGAGACCTTGGTCCATGAGCACCCAACACCTCCTTCCATGAGTACCCACCACCCACTGGAGACCTTGGTCCATGAGCACCCAACACCTCCTTCCATGAGTACCCACCACCCACTGGAGACCTTGGTCCATGAGCACCCAACACCTCCTTCCATGAGTACCCACCACCCACTGGAGACCTTGGTCCATGAGCACCCAACACCTCCTTCCATGAGTACCCACCACCCACTGGAGACCTTGGTCCATGAGCACCCAACACCTCCTTCCATGAGTACCCACCACCCACTGGAGACCTTGGTCCATGAGCACCCAACACCTCCTTCCATGAGTACCCACCACCCACTGGAGACCTTGGTCCATGAGCACCCAACACCTCCTTCCATGAGTACCCACCACCCACTGGAGACCTTGGTCCATGAGCACCCAACACCTCCTTCCATGAGTACCCACCACCCACTGGAGACCTTGGTCCATGAGCACCCAACACCTCCTTCCATGAGTACCCACCACCCACTGGAGACCTTGGTCCATGAGCACCCAACACCTCCTTCCATGAGTACCCACCACCCACTGGAGACCTTGGTCCATGAGCACCCAACACCTCCTTCCATGAGTACCCACCACCCACTGGAGACCTTGGTCCATGAGCACCCAACACCTCCTTCCATGAGTACCCACCACCCACTGGAGACCTTGGTCCATGAGCACCCAACACCTCCTTCCATGAGTACCCACCACCCACTGGAGACCTTGGTCCATGAGCACCCAACACCTCCTTCCATGAGTACCCACCACCCACTGGAGACCTTGGTCCATGAGCACCCAACACCTCCTTCCATGAGTACCCACCACCCACTGGAGACCTTGGTCCATGAGCACCCAACACCTCCTTCCATGAGTACCCACCACCCACTGGAGACCTTGGTCCATGAGCACCCAACACCTCCTTCCATGAGTACCCACCACCCACTGGAGACCTTGGTCCATGAGCACCCAACACCTCCTTCCATGAGCACCCACCACCCAGTGGAGACCCCATCCTTGACCACCCAACACCCACTGGAAACCCCCTTCCATGAGCATCCAACACCCCCTTCCATGAGCACCCATCACCCACTGGAGACCTTGGTCCATGAGCACCCAACACCCACTGGAGACCCCCTTCCATGAGCACCCAACACCCACTGGGGACCTTGGTCCGTGAGCACCCAACACCCACTGGAGACCCCCAATTCTAGACACCCAATGGAGACCCCCTTCCATGAGCACCCACCACCCAGTGGAGACCCCATCCTTGACCACCCACCACCCCCTTCCCAGTAGCCCTCCCACCACCGGAGGGGGGTGGTGTTACCTGCCTCCAGACGTCCCCAGTTGACGCTGGAGAAGATGGGGTGGCCCTTGAGTTGGGCGCAGTCGTTGTCCCGGAAGCCCAAGCGGGTGTTGGGGTCCTTGGCCAGTAGCCCCTCGCAGGCGGCGCGAGCCACCGGGCTGAACCGCTCCGAGTAGCTGACGGGGTCGTGGAGGATGCGTCTCGTCACCTCCTTGTTCTCCACCTGGGGAGAAGGTGGTTCTGGGGGTTCCTGGGGAGGTTCCTCCAAGGTTCTGGGGGTTCTTGAGGGGGTTTCTTGAGGTTCTTTGGGGGTTTGGGGGGTTCCTGGAAGGTTCTGGGGGTTCTTGAGGGGGTTTCTTGAGGTTCTTTGGGGGTTTGGGGGGTTCCTGGGAGGTTCTGGGGGTTCTTGGGAGGTTCTTGAGGGGGTTTCTTGAGGTTCTTTGGGGGTTTGGGGGGTTCCTGGGAGGTTCTGGGGGTTCTTGGGAGGTTCTTGAGGGGGTTTCTTGAGGTTCTTTGGGGGTTTGGGGGGTTCCTGGGAGGTTCTGGGGGTTCTTGGGAGGTTCTTGAGGGGGTTTCTTGAGGTTCTTTGGGGGTTTGGGGGGTTCCTGGGAGGTTCTGGGGGTTCTTGGGAGGTTCTTGAGGGGGTTTCTTGAGGTTCTTTGGGGGTTTGGGGGGTTCCTGGGAGGTTCTGGGGGTTCTTGGGAGGTTCTTGAGGGGGTTTCTTGAGGTTCTTTGGGGGTTTGGGGGGTTCCTGGGAGGTTCTGGGGGTTCTTGGGAGGTTCTTGAGGGGGTTTCTTGAGGTTCTTTGGGGGTTTGGGGGGTTCCTGGGAGGTTCTGGGGGTTCTTGGGAGGTTCTTGAGGGGGTTTCTTGAGGTTCTTTGGGGGTTTGGGGGGTTCCTGGGAGGTTCTGGGGGTTCTTGGGAGGTTCTTGAGGGGGTTTCTTGAGGTTCTTTGGGGGTTTGGGGGGTTCCTGGGAGGTTCTGGGGGTTCTTGGGAGGTTCTTGAGGGGGTTTCTTGAGGTTCTTTGGGGGTTTGGGGGGTTCCTGGGAGGTTCTGGGGGTTCTTGGGAGGTTCTTGAGGGGGTTTCTTGAGGTTCTTTGGGGGTTTGGGGGGTTCCTGGGAGGTTCTGGGGGTTCTTGGGAGGTTCTTGAGGGGGTTTCTTGAGGTTCTTTGGGGGTTTGGGGGGTTCCTGGGAGGTTCTGGGGGTTCTTGGGAGGTTCTTGAGGGGGTTTCTTGAGGTTCTTTGGGGGTTTGGGGGGTTCCTGGGAGGTTCTGGGGGTTCTTGGGAGGTTCTTGAGGGGGTTTCTTGAGGTTCTTTGGGGGTTTGGGGGGTTCCTGGGAGGTTCTGGGGGTTCTTGGGAGGTTCTTGAGGGGGTTTCTTGAGGTTCTTTGGGGGTTTGGGGGGTTCCTGGGAGGTTCTGGGGGTTCTTGGGAGGTTCTTGAGGGGGTTTCTTGAGGTTCTTTGGGGGTTTGGGGGGTTCCTGGGAGGTTCTGGGGGTTCTTGGGAGGTTCTTGAGGGGGTTTCTTGAGGTTCTTTGGGGGTTTGGGGGGTTCCTGGGAGGTTCTGGGGGTTCTTGGGAGGTTCTTGAGGGGGTTTCTTGAGGTTCTTTGGGGGTTTGGGGGGTTCCTGGGAGGTTCTGGGGGTTCTTGGGAGGTTCTTGAGGGGGTTTCTTGAGGTTCTTTGGGGGTTTGGGGGGTTCCTGGGAGGTTCTGGGGGTTCTTGGGAGGTTCTTGAGGGGGTTTCTTGAGGTTCTTTGGGGGTTTGGGGGGTTCCTGGGAGGTTCTGGGGGTTCTTGGGAGGTTCTTGAGGGGGTTTCTTGAGGTTCTTCCCAGTTGACCAAGGGAGGTCTCAGTTGACCAAGGGAGGTCCCAGTTGACCAAGAAGGACCCAGTTGACCAAGAGGGGAACCAGTTGACCAAGGGAAGTCCCAGTTGACCACGGGAGGTCCCATTTGACCAAGAGGGGACCCAGTTGACCAAGAAGGACCCATGTGACCAGGAAGGACCCATGTGACCAAGGAGGAGCCACGTGACCAAGAAGGACCCAGTTGACCAAGGGAGGTCTCAGTTGACCAAGAAGGACCCAGTTGACCAAGGGAGGTCTCAGTTGACCAAGAAGGACCCAGTTGACCAAGGGAGGTCTCAGTTGACCAAGAAGGACCCAGTTGACCAAGGGAGGTCTCAGTTGACCAAGAAGGACCCAGTTGACCAAGGGAGGTCTCAGTTGACCAAGAAGGACCCAGTTGACCAAGGGAGGTCTCAGTTGACCAAGAAGGACCCAGTTGACCAAGGGAGGTCTCAGTTGACCAAGAAGGACCCAGTTGACCAAGGGAGGTCTCAGTTGACCAAGAAGGACCCAGTTGACCAAGGGAGGTCTCAGTTGACCAAGAAGGACCCAGTTGACCAAGGGAGGTCTCAGTTGACCAAGAAGGACCCAGTTGACCAAGGGAGGTCTCAGTTGACCAAGAAGGACCCAGTTGACCAAGGGAGGTCTCAGTTGACCAAGAAGGACCCAGTTGACCAAGGGAGGTCTCAGTTGACCAAGAAGGACCCAGTTGACCAAGGGAGGTCTCAGTTGACCAAGAAGGACCCAGTTGACCAAGGGAGGTCTCAGTTGACCAAGAAGGACCCAGTTGACCAAGGGAGGTCTCAGTTGACCAAGAAGGACCCAGTTGACCAAGGGAGGTCTCAGTTGACCAAGAAGGACCCAGTTGACCAAGGGAGGTCTCAGTTGACCAAGAAGGACCCAGTTGACCAAGGGAGGTCTCAGTTGACCAAGAAGGACCCAGTTGACCAAGGGAGGTCTCAGTTGACCAAGAAGGACCCAGTTGACCAAGGGAGGTCTCAGTTGACCAAGAAGGACCCAGTTGACCAAGGGAGGTCTCAGTTGACCAAGAAGGACCCAGTTGACCAAGGGAGGTCTCAGTTGACCAAGAAGGACCCAGTTGACCAAGGGAGGTCTCAGTTGACCAAGAAGGACCCAGTTGACCAAGGGAGGTCTCAGTTGACCAAGAAGGACCCAGTTGACCAAGGGAGGTCTCAGTTGACCAAGAAGGACCCAGTTGACCAAGGGAGGTCTCAGTTGACCAAGAAGGACCCAGTTGACCAAGGGAGGTCTCAGTTGACCAAGAAGGACCCAGTTGACCAAGGGAGGTCTCAGTTGACCAAGAAGGACCCAGTTGACCAAGGGAGGTCTCAGTTGACCAAGAAGGACCCAGTTGACCAAGGGAGGTCTCAGTTGACCAAGAAGGACCCAGTTGACCAAGGGAGGTCTCAGTTGACCAAGAAGGACCCAGTTGACCAAGGGAGGTCTCAGTTGACCAAGAAGGACCCAGTTGACCAAGGGAGGTCTCAGTTGACCAAGAAGGACCCAGTTGACCAAGGGAGGTCTCAGTTGACCAAGAAGGACCCAGTTGACCAAGGGAGGTCTCAGTTGACCAAGAAGGACCCAGTTGACCAAGGGAGGTCTCAGTTGACCAAGAAGGACCCAGTTGACCAAGGGAGGTCTCAGTTGACCAAGAAGGACCCAGTTGACCAAGGGAGGTCTCAGTTGACCAAGAAGGACCCAGTTGACCAAGGGAGGTCTCAGTTGACCAAGAAGGACCCAGTTGACCAAGGGAGGTCTCAGTTGACCAAGAAGGACCCAGTTGACCAAGGGAGGTCTCAGTTGACCAAGAAGGACCCATATGGTCAAGAAGGACCCAGTTGACCAAGAGGGGACCCAGTTGACCAAGGGAGGTCTCAGTTGACCAAGAAGGACCCATGTGACCAGGAAGGACCCAGTTGACCAAGAGGGGAACCAGTTGACCAAGAAGGACCATATGACCAAGAAGGACCCAGTTGACCAAGGGAGGTCCCAGTTGACCAAGAAGGACCCAGTTGACCAAGGAGGCCCC